TCAAAATAGATAAATAGATTTTCTTTTTTTTTTTTTCAACAATTCTATTCAATTTTATGAACACCTGGAAAGTAAATATTTCAATTAATGAAAATAAATTATCAATATTTGAAAGTAAATTTGAGAAATAATAATGCGTTATCATTTACATTTTTAATACCAACTTGAAAATAAAAAAATGCACTTTAGTACTTATTTTCATAGTATGTATATCATCTATTGAAAGAATGAAGTGAGCTCGTTTATATAACTCTTAAATGTTCATCAAGCGATAAATGATATCTTTCTTTTTTTTTATTTAAATAATTTCTAAATTCAATGAACAATATCAATTAAAATAATATTTCTTTTCTTTTACGCTTGAATGATCAATATGAAATCCTATTTAAATTTTCAATATAGAGAATATATTTAAGTTTAAATCAAATAATAAATAATTAAATAAGGAACATTTCGTATGTCATCGAGTTCATTGAAAAGTGTCTTGTTTTATTAATATTCATATATTAAAAAAAAATATATATATATCGTTATACTTTGTAATTAAAAAAAAAGTAGTTTCATATATGAAGTATTTTTATTAAAATAACAATATTTATTCTACTTCGTTCTTATCTATTCGACTCACTTTCTCTAATTATTCATTGGTTATGAGTACAGGACAAGAAGCATATTATAGAACAAAAAGTATAGCGCCATCACCAATTGCTTCGTTCTCTCTTTGCGCTCGGTCGACAGCGGTGATGACTAGAGATAGTTAACGACAACGAAGAAAAAAAACTGCCCGCCAACTCGACCGAGGCTCTCCGTCTGATTTATTAGACATCTTCTCATTCCCTTCTTTTTCTTTCTGTTCTGCGCACTCGTTCTTCTTTTTGACTAGAGCAACTATTTTCATCGTTGTTGTTAATATAATAATAATAATATTATTTTCGAGAACGGTCTCTTCTCTCTCTCTCCCATTCCCTCTCTCTCTCTCTCTCTGTGGATAATATTACTTTTTTTCCGTACAAGCAAACACACACATAGTCTCATAATCATTCAATTCATACGATTGGACAAGAATAAACAAAGACAGTTTAACTATATGGGTGACATTATACACATCTTTATTCAGTCTGTTCTCTCATTTTTTTTCCTTAACCATCACTCACTCGATGTATTGGCGCGCGTACATACAATCGCCAAGATGTGAATATATAGAAAGAGAGAAAAAATTCTCTTCGTCATTTTTCTTTTTTTTTTTCGTTTTCATTTTTTCGAATTTATCATCAGGGCAAGCTCATAGAAAAAGAAGAGAGAGAGAGACAGAGAGAAAGACACAGAAACCAGTAAAGAAGTTTTTTTGCTACTATTCATAAATGATTAAAAGTCAGATTAATTAGTTTGTTCTTATTGTATTCATTTTCTTGTTTCTTCATTAGACATCAACATTGATACGATCAATGAAAGGTAAAACTTGAATATAAAACGAGAAAAATCCGTTAATCTCTTTTTAATTATTATTTCTTGTTCCACCGAAAAAAAAAAAATAAAAAAGAAAAGTCATTTGATTTTTTTTGGCTTTGATGAAAACAGATGAGAGAAATATTGAAAGACAAAGAAAAGGTCCGAGTAACAAGAGTAAGCGAACCAGAGTAGATTACTTTTTGATTCTTATATATATGTCCGTGGCAACATGGTTAGATCCATATATATGTATTTATATATATATATGAGGTGGCAATTAAACTTGGCCTATCTCTCTTTTCTCTCCTCTCACATAACCCTTTATATATGTATATATATATATATATATTCTAATATGCAAATCGAGCGCGAATAAACGAGGCTCGTATTCATGTTAATCGTCGATCAGTTGAAATACTAAAATCATATTTCTTCTTATTTATAGACATTCATAGGTATTGTATGATGACGATGGAAGCATCATCGAATAGTCGAGATGGACTAACATCATCATCATCATCATCGACAACAACCGCAACTACAACTTCGTTACAGTTATCTGTTGAACAGTGGGAATTATTAAGACGTTTACGAAATAGTCATTTAACAAAAGCACAAATAATTCGAGCCTATGATGAACTAGATCGACTTGATCGTGAACTTGGAAATCTATTTAATAGTGTACCTCCGGCTTCTTCTCTTACTCTTTCGTCTTCATGTATAAATGTTCCTTTAATCGATCCGGTATCACCATCGACAATAAATTCTCAACAAGTATCTCCACCTTCATCAGCATCTATTATAAACAATACTACTAATAATAATAATAAACGACCATATAGTCAAACGGTTAATGGATTACAACCAGTAAGACTATCGAATGGTTATCATTCATCACAGATGCATCATTCAACCACATCATCATCATCATCATCAAATCCTAATTTAAGACCAATACGAAATAGTATTAATGAAACAAATTCATCGATATTAAATCAACATGAAACAATAAATCAAAATGATGTTGAAGAAGAAAATCGTGAATTACAAGAATTACTAGCGTATGTTAATAAAATAGAATACATATTTTTTTAATTTTATTATTGTTGTATTTCTTATACAAATATTTTCACATTTATTAAATAACTAAAACATATTAGAAAAAAAAAATTTCAAAGTAGAAAATTTTCTTTATCATGTCCTTTAAAACTACATTTTTTTAATTATTAATTAATTGATTTATACATAACAGACTGAAAGAAAGTCTTTATTGTTTCTCTTTCTTTAGTAAAGGTGATGTTGCTATTCATAATGAAATCTCTGTTTTTGTCTATCGTTATGATCTAAAACAATCACAAATAGCTCGAATGGCAGGTTAGATTTTGTTTTTTGTAAAAAAAAGAAAAAAAAGAAATTTTAATTTTTAATTTTTAAGCGGTGAATCAAGCATATGTATCGAAATTTTTACGTGGTGATTTATTTGATTTATCTGAAAATGGGCGAATGGCCATATGTCGATGGTATATAAGATATAAAAAAATTGTTCAATCTATGAGTAAGTAATCAAAAAAAGAAAAGGAAATGTTCTTTTTATCAATTATTTTTCTCATCAAATATTTATTTGATTCATATGAGGGGGAACATTAATGATCATTAAAGAAAATAAAATATGAATATTTATATTTAACTGATCGATTTGATCATACGTACATTATGAATCAAATTTGTTTTTAATTATCAATTTTTACATATATGTACGAAAGAAATTGATTGTTGAATTGAAATTTTAAATATAATCTTTTTAAAATATTTTGATGAAATAAAAATGTTTATAAAGTATACGGAAGTTTCACACTTATATTAATTAAATGTAGAACGCTAAAATTTATTTTCTAGGACTCAGATTTTATCATATTTTGTTTTTCTTTTATTATTTAGGTGGTAGTCAACCATCTGCTGAATTATTAGCTAATTTAACATCAACATGTGAACCACCAACAAAAATTCCACGTCTTGTTGAATCTCAAACAAATAATAATTCATCACCTGTTTCATTTGATGCACCTAAACGTACTCGATTTACTTTTCGACCTGAACATCTTGATGTAAAATCTATTGATTTAATAAACCCATAGAAAAATGAAAGAATAATTTGTCTGTTTTTTTTTTATTATTTGATTTAGATTCTTGAAAAAGCTTTTCTTGATAATCCATATCCTGATCCACGTCGTCGTGAAGATCTAGCTCGTATATGTAATGAAGCTCGAACACGTATCGATGGTACAAATGAAGTATTAAATGAACGTGATCGCGTAACTGATGCTATTGTAACACATTGGTTTCAAAATAAACGAAAAATGACAAAAAGTCAACGAGGTATTTATTAATTATATAATAACTAAAGAAAAAGAAAAATTCTTTTCTTCGTTCGTTTTTTCTTTTCTTTTCTAGTATCAATACAAGAAGAATCAATTCCATTAAGTTTATCAAATAGTAGTAATAATCATCCATCAACAATGTCAATGAATGATTTTGAAAATACAAATGGTGATGATGATATACATATTCCTCATCATCATCAACAACAACTACAAAAATCCGCTGTACCTGTTGTTGATATTGATTGTTTTGATACATCATCATCATTACTTGATCCGCAGATGGCTGCGTATCGTGCTATAATGAGTCGTATGGTACCATTTACTAATAATATTAATGGTAATAGTTCACCGAAACGTTTTGTTAAACAAGAACCTATTTTAAATCAAGATGAATCAAGTCAAGGTGATGAATCAAATTCTCAATCACCATTAAACGATCATTTATCACCGTGAATAAAAATAAATAAATTGAAATCTTTCTTTATATATATATATATATACGTATATAAAAATCTATTCTTGTTTATTCTAGTCTTTGTCTGTATCTGTGTAATGTATTCACATACATTCCTTTTTTTTTTTGTTTTCCTTTTTTTTGAATAGAAATATACAAAAAGAACAATTTTCTTATAATATATAGAATGAAATATAATCATAATGATGATGATTATAATAAATCCGCAAGAAATCAAAGATTATTTGATTAGATTGATGAAAAACAGATGGTAACTTGATGATAAATAGTCTTTTACATTTTCTATTCAATCCGACAAATTATCTATCAATTTAATTCTATTATTAAAACTTATGCTTAAAATAAAAGACTAACGTCAATGGGTTATTTAATAAATGATGTGATATAATGGCTTTCGCCGTAGATGTTAAAAATAAATCTTTTTTTGTATATGACTTTATACTTTTCTTTGAAAGGTCAATCAGTATGGTGTAATTTTCTTTTTTTTAATAAATGTGTTATTAATTTAGTTGCATTCAATATTTTAATGAGAAATTTTTTTTTTTCATATATAAAAATCCAAGTTATTGTTGATAATTTAATTAACATAAGAAGATAAAAGAGCAAAAAATAGATCTAACATAGAAAAGAAAATAACGAAATAAAGACAAGGTTACTAATAAACAATATATATATATATGAAGAAGAAATTCTAATTATTTATTTTTTTTTTTCTTGAAATAATTATCAAGAGTTCCATTCTGAAGTAAAAAAAGAAAAGAAAAAGAAAAGATTATTTCTGAAATAATTATATTATCGATCATAATAATTTTTACTTTTTTTCCATTTGATGTCCACAATTTAATTTGTGGTAAAGCAGTATTAAATACCTGAAAAATATTTAAAAAACAACTTTTCTTTTTCTTTTTTTAGAATTTTTAATAATTAATTCTTAACCTTTTTCATAGCTGTTGAAATAGCTGATGTTTGAAGTTGTTCTTGATTAAACCATTGCATTTGTGATGTTGATGTTAATATTTCATTTTGATCATAATGTGCAAAATAAATAATATATTGTTTGTCGATATGAGAAAAAAGATGACGACACTAAGGAAAGAAAAGTTTATTTTAATTCTAGAAAAAAAAAAAGAAAATTCATGAAAAGATTTCAATATTACTTGTCCAGCTAATTTAATATTTTCAATATTGATTTTTTTATTGAATATAGTCATATGTTGTATTTGTTCCATAATAAAATTTTTTCTCTTACGTTCATTCATTTGATCAAGATCATTAGAAGAATTTATTTCTAAAAATGACCAAAGACCAGATAAAAGACCGGATTGTTTTTGTTTAATCATTAAAAATTCAAGTTTAGGATTTAAACGATAAATTATAAGAATAAATGATATTTCTTTTCGTTGTTTGGTTTTATCTTTTTTTCGTGGATAATTTTCAACAAGAGAACGATTAGATTCAATATTTTCAGATTTTAAACAAAATGTACAATTTAATGAACATTCTTCAATATCAATTACAGTTTGTTGAATCTAAATGAATACTTAAAATAAATTTTATACTTTTCAAATTAAAATATACTTGTTTGAGATAAGCTAAACATTGATTTTGAACTGGACATATAGTACATTTAGGTTTTTGTGGTGTACATACTGTAGCACCTAATTCCATAAGGCTTTGATTAAAATCACCAGGTCTTTCGGGACATACAAGATCAGTTGCTAATGACCTATATTATTTAAATATGAAAGTTGGAAGATAAAATTTATTTTTATTTTTGGCCTCCTTGAGACTGTTTCCGAGGAGTTAACAGTCATGAGTTCGGACCATCATACTGTGCATCCCTAGAATATGCCCTGAGAAATTTGATTTTAGTTTTTGTTGGAGAGTAGTGACGTAATGTTTAAAAGATTCAAAAGACTGAGTTTGAACAGAAAGTGTAAGTCGAAGTATTCTGAATCAGATGGTCGTTCATTTTGATCTGTTTGAAAGTATCTCACACAAGCAAAAACTATGAATAATGATCAGAATTTTGTGTTCTCTTCCAATATGGATTCAGAAATATAATGTCTACTTTTGTTTCAGACTAGTGGAAGAATTTTTCAAAAGTTCAAAAAAATTAGATTAAAAGGTGAACTAATAGACGTTTGAGAGCCCCTATAAGTTCCTTTTGAAAGGTGTCAAAATTTATCGGAGTCGATCATTTTGTTAAGCGAGCAGCACTTCTTTAGAAATTGTCGTATTGAACTAAGCTATAACTTTTACTTAAGTGAAACTATTAGCATTTTTTACCAAGAGCTTCTTTTTTGATCCAAACACTTTGTGATTTAAAAGTTGATTTTTCAAAAATGAGGGTTAAGGAGAAACAAATATTGAAGTGATCTATAGAAAGACAAAAGAAAACTTCAATAGTATATTTTATAGCGTATTCTGTAATCTATAAACTGATATATTAGTTAATGTTTTAGTATTTACTTTCGAGTTGAAATAGTGAAATTAAGAATATTTCCAAGGCTACATTCGAAAAGAGTAGAATATTATCGTCATAACATATAGATTTTGACTCTTCAGAAATTTTTTTCAACGGAGCTAACAATCAACAAAACATCTTGTCTCAAAACTTTCGTGCCATCAGTTAGATAATCAACAGAAACAATTTGTATTTTAACATACCATAGAAGATCAGTTGTAGATTTTTTCTTTAAATCACTTCCAATACATCGCATGCGAGACAAAACCCGTATGACATTACCATCAAGAATTGGATTCGACTATAGAAAAGGATAATATCATCCAAAAAAAAAAAGGAAAACAACAAAATTGGAAAACCTGATTAAATGCTATTGAACTAACAGCACCAGCTGTATAACGGCCTACACCAGGTAATCGATTAATCATTATATCCAATTCATTTGGAAATTCACCATTATATTCATTGATAATCTATTTAATAGAATATATTTTTTTCTAGTTTTTAAATCTTATTAAATTTACCAATTGAGCACATTTATGTAAATTTCGTGCTCGATTATAATAGCCAAGACCTGTATGAAAAAAATAAATAAAGAAAACGAAATTCTGTTGAATATAATACCAGCCCAACATTTGAGAACATCCTATATAAATAAATTTGCGCTAGTATTATAAAAAAAAAATAATGCATTTGCTTACATCTTCAGTAGCTTCAGCTAATGATTTGATATCGGGCCATTGCTAAAAAGAACAAATCGTAATAATGTAGAAAATGATGCATAGAAAAAAAAAAGTAATTTTATTTACCTTCATCCATGTTTCGTAATATCGAATAACAGTAGCAACTTGAGTTTGTTGAAGCATTAACTCAGAAACAAGTACTAAAATAATAAAAATGCAAGAAAAAAACGTATACATATATTAATTTTCGGTTTCTCAAACCTCGATAAGCAACAATATTTGCATTTGTATCATGCCAATCACGCCAAGGTAACTTTCGTTTATTAGTATCATACCATGCTAATAACGAACGACGACAAATTAAAATTTCTTCTTTCGAAAATCGATGACGGGTCATTAAATTATCTATAAAGAAAAGGAATAGTAAAAAGTTTATCACAATTTTTATTCTCAAACGTTATCAATTCGAATTGTTTATTGAGTAAACTGCTCGATTGTATGATACTATTCGTCTTGGATGAAATTCAGTCAGTGCTTGTCATAAACTTATAGTCAGTATTTCTGAATCCATCTTATTGATATAATCCATTTTAACAAAACTGAAAAGTTCTGAATAAAATTTAGAAGCATAATCTATTATCACCAGACGCAAAGCAACAATCCATTATATCAAAATTTTTGATTTATCATAAATTTCTCTATTAATTTCAATTTTACTTTCATCATCTATTATATTATATTTGTTGTTCAAAAAAGAATCATATCATAGAAATAAAATCAAAAAAAAAACGAGAAAAAGAAAAAAACCGAATGTATCAGCAATAGTGCTAAAATGCAAAATATAGATTAACAGTCAAAGAAAAAACAATCAATTATAGTGATTTGACTAGTTAATTTTTTACAAATAAAAATTCAAATTAGAAAAAGAATAAACGTTCAAAAAATTGATTATCTTTGTTCTCTAACATATAAAAAAAAAAAAAATCAACGAGCCGCCATAACACCAAGAGTTAATACATCATTGCATAATTGACATACTCTAACAGGTTTTTGCAAATTAAATTTCATTATTGGTAATTCATTCACAGAACACCGTTTACATAAAACTCGACCACAGTGTCGACTAATAATAAAAATAAAAAAAAAGATCATCAAAAATATTTTTTAGTTTTATACGAAACAATAGAACAGCTTTTATCAGAACTAATTCAAAGTCGAATCTAGTGGAGACGCCACAGGGAGCTGAGTTCGCAGAAAGATTTAAAAACTTGTTTCTAACTGTGGTCTCAGAGGAAGTTTGAGAGTGGCTCAGCCCACCTTCCCCGCGACTAAAAAATCTCATGCCGCTACTACTTGAATCAAATAGTTATCTGGATTTTTCTAAGAATTCAATAATTTTTCTTTTAAAAATCTTTTCATATATCCGAAATTTGCAACTTTCCTCATTATAAATTCTTAATTAAAATAATACTAACCAATGATGTCTTCGATTTGTTATTGTAAATTTCATTCCACATTCCAAACAAGTTTCACTTTCACCCCATGGAGGTTCACGAGTAATAATATCTGATAAATAATAATAAAAATAATATTTCACTAATTAAATATCTTACCAAGTATATTAACAAGTAAAGCTTTACTTGCCGTTGGCATAGTAAATATTGATAATGAATCATTATTACAAATACTTAAATTAGCACCAGCTGATACAAGAGCACGACATAATTGACCATGACCATTTTTATAAGCCAATATAAGAGCTATATAAAACATATGTATTACATTCAGAAAAAAAAATTCTTTCTGAAAAAACTTACCTGTATTTCCTTGTCCATCTTGAATATCAAGTGGAAATGTTGGATGATGTTTTAAAATCTGCTCAAATATTGCTTGAGCATTTCCTTGAGGATGAGCTGCTAAAACATGAAGACAATTCATTCCTCTAGGAACAAAACATATATATATATAAATTCTAAATTCAAAAAAATCTTTTACTTGGAATTTAATGTCAATACGTCAATATCAGATTCTGCTAATAAACAACGTACAACATCTAAATTGCCATGTTGTACCGCCAAATGAAGAGCTATATAAAAAAAAAAAAAAGTAAAACTTTTAAAATCAACGAAATTTCTTATTCAAACCAGTATTTTGATTAGCATCAGTTAAATTAGCATGTATATGATTTTCAAGAAGAATACTACAAATAACACCACGATTATTTTCTGCTGCAATATGTAAAGCTGATCGACGATTAGCTGTAACATCATTAATATTCGCACCTGCAAGTATCTATATAAGATTTTTTTTAAATTTATTAAAAAAAAAAAAAACTTTTTGTTTTAATTTATTACTAAATTTCTCAGAATGATTTCACTTCCTATTTGTACACATAAATGAAGTGGTGTAAATTGACTAGCATCTTGAACACGATTATTAACATTAACTTGAACAGTTAATAAAAATAAAACACTTTCAATATCACCATTTTGTACAGCTACATGAAGAAAATTTCGACCTTTATTATCAAGCTTAAAAAAAGAGAATTCTTTTGTTTTTTGTTTTTAAATTCAAGAATAGAATTTTTCTTTTCTTGATAACATACTTGTTCAGCTGCTCGTGGTTCACGTTTTAAAATAAGATTTGCAGCTTCATTATTTTTGGCTACCATTGCACAAGCAAATGGTGTTTGATTTTGTTTATTACGTATTGTTAAATCTAAACTTGGTGCATTAAGTAATAAATTAATTATAGTTGTATGTTGATTAATGATTGCAACATGAAGTGGAGTATTAGCTTCGGCATCCTAAAAGGAAAAGGAAATAAGGATTTTTTTTATTTGCGAATTTTGTTGATTGTACTTTTTTATTTATATCGGCATGATATTCAATTAACGTTGAAACAACTCGTTCAAGACCCCATTGAGCAGCTAAAATTGAATAAATAATAATTAAATAAAAAAAAAAAAATATTTTCTTTATTGATTATACCAAGATGTAAAGGACTTTCAAGAGTTTTGCATATATCAGGTGCTTCACCGTTTACACCAGGTTGACGAGGAGAATTAATGTCACAAGCACTAAAAATAAAACAAACAACGAAAAATACAATCGATTTTGAAAGAAGTAATTCATATTTGTGTACCTTTTGATTAGAAAGCAAGCAACACTTTCGTTATTTTCATCAATAGCTCGATGCAAGAGAGTTTGTCGACAATTATCAGGTCCGTTTGACCATCTAAGAAGAAAAAAATTATTTTGTTTTTGTAAACATAAGTCTTAGATCTTAAATTTGATAGAGATTTTCATTAATAATTTCTATCCTTGTTTATAAAACTAAATGTATAATATAACTGTTTTCTTCGTTATAACATAAAAAAAGAAACAATTGATTCTATAACATTTAAAGTTAACAACTACGAAACATTGAATGTTATTATTCGAAAAAATCTATGTACCATTGTTTCTCTCTCTTCTTCACTATACAGTCGTGCTTCTTGTAGAAACATTGCCACATCGTTACATTTCTCGTTATTAATCAAAATTGACAAAGATCTAGAACACTTTGTAGGAAGTAATTATATCTAATTGTCTCTCAGGTCAAGAAATATAGACTGTTTCCTAGTCGGAAAACTCAGGAAAATAGCAGAAAATTTGAAGGCAGGAATCCTGTAGTTGAAATTTTCTAGTTCCGGACAAAGCCAGCAATTAAGTTCGATCACCGCCTTCTTGTTTCTAACTTTTCCAGCGGAAACCTGTTGAATACTCACGGCTATGTACACGAGAATCATTGATCTGGATCTCTCTGGACATTAAAAGTAATCATCTGCTTCATCTTTCTTTTTTTTCAACAGAGATATTCTAATTAAAAATTTTCTCTTAAATCAATCCCTCAAATATAGATATTCTTCGATCTGTTTATTGTCTACTATATAATATATTCATAAATTTTAAAACATAAGATAACTTAGCCATAGCGAATAGTCGCTTTCATTTTCATCAATAGAATTTTTTTTGACATTTTAAACTTACAAAAGTTTCGATCATTTAACATTTTCTCTGTGCAAACCTCAAATGCAATCTATCCATGCAAATGAAATTTCTTCTACTTGTTTATTCATATTGTTTTTAAAAACTTTCTTTAATAAATTTGTAAAGTCTTTCCGAAGGACAATATTATCTTACTGTGTACTATCACAATCAAATTTGACAAGTATTGAAGCTATATCTTCTTGACCTGAATCTAATGCATTCCATAAGACACTATTTCTATTTTCATCAACAACATTCATATTTGCTCCATTACGACAAAGTGCTTCAACTACAGATGGTAAATGATGTTTAACAGCAAGTTGTATGGGAGATAGACCATGTGTTTTTTCATTAACATCAACACCTTGTTCAAGTAAAAATAAAGCTGCTTGAACATTTTGTTTACTAATAGCTTGTGCTAATAATGGTGTTTGTTCGCAATCTTTTATTTCTAATTGTGCATGACGATTAAGTAAAAGTTGTTTAGCTATTGTTAACATATTCATCCATAGTGTTAATGAAAAAATACTTTGACCATGTTCATCTTGAATATTAAAATTTGGTTTTAAATTTTCTTCAGTAATTTTTTCACGAAATTGTATATAAACATCAAGTATACGTTCTTGTGATGCATAAACAGCACGATGAATTGGTGTTTGAAGACCAACATTTGAAATTTGTTCATCATTAGAAGATAATGTTTGATGAGTTTGAATATTTGAATTGGCACCATTTTCAAGTAAAGCTTTTGTAAATTGTTCTAAACCTAATTGTGATGTTAGATGTAATGCTGTTTCACCTTGTTTATTAACATGATTTATTTTGGCACCTTTTTTTATTAAATAAAGACCAGCTTGTTGATAATGATGACGAGCACATTTATGTAATAACGATTCATTTGCTGTTGATATTGGATCAATAGCATCAACACTAGCACCACGATCAACCAGTAAACTTGCAAATGTTTCTTGATCAAAACTAATATCTGAATATGTTTAAAAAAAAGATACTTAAATTTTTATGTTTTATATATCTATCATATAGATATTATTTGAATGATAAAATGAATCGTTTGTCTTTGGTAGAGAATAAAATGTTTAGTCAGTAAACTAGATGAAATGGTTAGCAAGATAAATAATTATAAAATCAATGATATTTCTTATAAGATTAGTTACTAATGAATCAGCTGTATTAAAAGACTTAAAGATGAGTAAATAAAATTGACTAATAGTTAATTAAATTAATTATTAAATATAGAAATAAAAATCTATTATAATGAAACTCACCTTTTTCCATCTTCTTTTCTTGTATAATATAATATAGATGCTATAAATAGCATACAAGTAGGCACACTTTGCTTCTATTCCTTACTCCTACTTAGAGTCCACGAGTAAAAAAAAAAAAATGAACGTGATATAAGTTACTCAATATGAAAGTAATGAAACAAAAGAATTTGCCAAAAATAAAAAAACAAATCAAAAGATTGGATTAACGAAATTATATTTGATAATATTAATGGTGCAGAACCATTAATTTAAAATGATGGTCAGAACATTAGATGAACTATATTGAATACGAGAAAATACTTTATTACCAATGTAACAAAGCCAAGTATTTATCTACTATATCATGCAGATAGTGAAAAAAGTTACTGTTTATAAAACTGAAGTTGAGTACAATGATCATAAGAATGTATGAGTGTGAATGAAATGAAAACCAATTCAAATCCACAACCACGCCCATATTTTTCACTGACGAAATTTGTAGTTTTATATTTGATATAAAATGTATTTTTTTTTACTAATAATTACATATATTAAACTGATCATTTTGTGATTAAATATTGATAATTCAAGTAATGACCATTTCATCTATTTTACTGATGACTCAAATTATAGCCTTTTTTTTTTCTTGAAAAATGAATTCTCGGAAGAGAATTATGAAATCTTTATAAACATCTTCGATAAATTTAATGGATTAGATTGTACATTTCGAAGAAAATATGTTTTAAATGATCTCAATCAATTATTGAATATCATCAAAAATAACCTAGACAAAACCAATTCTCGATTAATCGAACTAAGAACTCTATAATTTGATTATATGAAATGTAAAACTATTCCAGTAAAAGAATGTAATTAGAGTCAAGATTTTATACTGACAAGGAATGTTCTTTGTATTTTGTAAAGTCAACGATACATTTATGTAATCAGCATCTTTCTTTTATCACTATGCTTTCGTTATCAGAGTAATGCGTCATTTCTTTTGCTACTAAAGAACAACCAAAATAATATCTTCCTGCTATATTTTTGAATACTATAAGTTTTACTATTAAGAATTTCTTCAATAGTATATGAATGATATCAACTTATTAGATATTTTTATATTAAAATAACTTTTGTGCAAAATCTTTCTTGATTAAGCTAAAATTTTCTTTGTTCTAAATGCTTCCTATGGAGTTTGTATACTTAAATTTAGATTTCAAAATAATATACATGGTCATGCAAAAATTTAAGTAGTTCAATTAGAATAAATAAAAATCTTGTCAATTATTATTAGAGACTTGTTTATGAAATATTTACTTGATTTAATTATTTATCTTTAAATATTTGAAATAACTTACGCATTTGTTCAGCTTGTTGAAGAGCAAGCCAAAGTGGTACATGATCATCTTTATTTCTATCATCTAATGCTAATTTTGATGCTGTTAATAATTCTCGAAAAACATGTATATTGTCAGAAAGTATTGCTCTATGAAGGCAATTATTGCCTTTTACATCTTGTTTTTTTGTATCAGCACCATGTTCAAGCATAAGTCGTGCTACACGACACATTCCAGTCATAACATCTGATAATAATTCAGCTGGATTAAGACCACTTAATAAATGTAATGGTGTTTCACGTCCAACATTTGTTTGATGATTAAGTCGACAGTCATGTTTTATAAGAAATGTTGCAGAATGTTCATCACCTAAAAAAAAAAACAAAAACAAACCTTCTCTTTTTATTTATATTAAGAATAAATAAATTAATATATTTATAACCTCGTTTAATAGCTAAATGAAGTAATGTTCGATTTTCAGCATCAATATGATTAATATCAGCTTGATGACGAACAAGATTTTCTGCCATACTATCTTGTTTTGTTTTTAATGCTAATTCAAGTGCTAATTCACCATGATCATCAAGTTCATTAACTCGTTCAGCTAACTAGAAGGCAAAATAAAGAAATTTAAAAGCAATATTGCTGTGTTTTTGTCTATCTTACATCTGCATCATTATCAATTAAATAAAGAAAAAGTACATCTTCACGTTTCATGCGTACAGCTTGATGAAGTGGATATTTAGTTTTTTGTTTAAATAATTTAAATGTCATTGGTGCAGGCAAATGTTGAAAATCTTCACTGGTAAAATCATTCTAACAAAACAAAACAAAAAAATAAGAAATTTTTTCAAATGATTAACATGTTGTAAAAGATATAACAAACCCAATGTGCACTAATTAATTGACTACAGTGAGTTTGTAAAACTTGTGCACCTATTTCTTCTGCTACTTTATAAAATTTCAAACAATTTCGAACTGTTATTGCTGATATTAATGCCACTTCACATCTAAATGAAATTTAAAAAAAAAGTTTTCTCTTTTTTTTTCTTTCTAGTATAAAAGAAAGTTAATTTCTACAAACTGATCAATTAATTCTTTTAATTCAAAACGTTTAGCTGTTTTCATTAAATTTAATAAAAAATCTTCATTCTGTTTTTCAGCTATTTCATCTGTATAAACCCATTTAATCAATTGAAATCCAACATCATATGGAATATCTAGAAGAATAAATTATCAAAAGTAAAAAAAAAAAAGAAAAAACACAATAAGAAAATCTTTTTAATATGAAAAAATTTTCTTACCTGTTAAATCAAGTTCAGATGCATCACCTAATTGTTGTGGATCCCATTTAATACTACGTGCTGCTAAAACAAAACGATGACCATGTAAAGTTTCACCATCAAGTTTAATTGTAATGTCACTGAAAATAAAATCATATATAACAAAATTAATTTCTTTTCTTTTTTTCAAACCTATAGAGTTCACGATTAAATAATTCTGCTACAATTTTAAGTAAACGATAAACAAATGAATTTTGATCAAGTTTTGTTGTTGAATTAAGAACATTATAATTTCGTTCTAAGTTTTTGTAACGTTGTTGAAGTTTAACATACTCTTCACGAAGTAGAACAAGATGTTGTTGTAATTTACCGATTTCATTTTGATTATCACTACCACTCATTTTATTTTTTGTATAAGAAATAAAAGTAAATCTAAACTAAAATAAGAAGATGAAACTCTACATTGATATTATCTTATAATAATCGAAAGAAGAACACTTTTTTTCTTCTTCCGTAATATACTTTTTGGATGTTTCATAATCATTTTGTGGTGAGCATTTAAAGCCAAAGAAAATTAATCTTTTATTTTTATTTGAATATTGGCGACATCTGAGTTTAGTACTCGAAGATTCAAAAGATAATATAGTTTTTCTAAGATTTTATTATTCAATATTATAGAAAGTAGTTGAAGAAAATCTAACATACACAAATGAAGAAAAAATTTAATCGATTAGTTGAAACTTCGATTGCTTTTGAGAGTTTATTTAAGTACTGTGAATGATGATTCTTTTTTTTTCTGAACTACGAAGTAGTTCCCTCGACTGAAGGGAGGGTCATATGAAATAAAATGTGTTTTTATGTTTGTTTGCAGTCACGTGTCAGCGTATCTATAAGAACTTATTATAATGGTTGACAAAAGTAAATCAGGGTCGAGGAACCCGAATCAACAATCAGTTTTTCAAATTTTTAAGTTTCAGTTTTTTTAGACAAAGAAATACTTTTCTTAAGAAAAAAATGATTTTTTTATAAAGTTTGACCGAAGGTAATCGGAGTCGAGAAATCTGAATCCGAAGTCAGTTTTTCAAAATTTTGAATTAGGTTTTTTTCGGTCAAGGAAAGAGTTTTTTTGAGAAAATAATATTTTTTATAAGGCTTAGCCGAATGTGGTCGGGGTCGAAGAACCTGAAGCTGCCATTAATTTTTCAACATCTTCAGTTCTGTTTTTACAGGCAATGAAAAGATTTTTTGAAAATAATAACAATGTTTCATAAAAGTTGGCAACAGTAAATCAGGGATCGGAAATAATTACGTTTTTGAACGAAAAGTTGAAGTTTTTGCCTCTTTTCTTCTACATGGTACGACCTATAGGGCTAAAACTTTTTTCCATAGATACTTCGATCAAAATGGGATGTGTCCTTTTTTTTTTTTTAAAAATATTGTTTCTAGAGAATTTTAGTAGATACCAAAAAATTAATACCATAAGAAAAAACACAGTTTTTGATAGTGCCTCCGGTATTTTGATTCTCCTGAGTATCAAGAAGAATATTGTTCGAAGAAAGAAAAAAGACACATCCCAATGATCCTAAAATGTACAATATAATTTTAGCCCACTTTCTGTTTTTGCAATATCTTGTCTTTCTTGCCAGATAGAGACCTTATTTTTTTATCACCACGTGGCCAACAGTGAGTACTATATTCTCTGAAAAATCGTGGGATTGCGAGTAAGTTTGACAAAGTTAGACGAAAAACCAAAAAATGTTCATTTTCAGTATTTTGCATTTTCCAACCAAGAGATTTGCTTCAAAATTTTTTAATACACACGTTCTGATAGAGCAGAGATGGGCAAGTCAAGTAAAAGAATGGACATATTTTTTGCAATTTATGCGTCTAATTCTTGTCTACACTAACAGTTTCTATGAGAGCAGAAACAAAGAAAAAGAAATTCTTTCATGCACTTCAGATAAGCGGCGGCCAAATGAGAATATATAGTCATTTTTTTATTTGACTTGAAAACTCCATGATTTGACTTGACTTGAGCCTTAAAAACCTCTGACTTGTCCATCTCTGTTAAGTTTAACAGTCACAAGTGAGTTAAATGTAATTTTCTCGTATTCAAAAGAAAAGGCTCATATTTCATTTCGTGTGTTTGATGACAAGTCAAGCAGATGTCAAATGTTTGCTAGAGGTGCTGAAATTATACCTGACCTCCTAACATGTATTATTATTAGTTTCCTTGTGATAAAATTACTACTTATAGTCTAGGTTAAAAATGGAAAGAAGTAAGTTCGCTTTTCATGAGATTCCTCTCTCTTAAGTTGATTGGTATTTGAGTAGCAATCATTCTCACCCTATCTTAGTTTCACTATGGCATTGTACACGGATCAGTTTTTTCTGAAAATTGTGCCAAATTGTTTTGATTATAAACCCTATCATAGTGCACATATTTCGCATCAAAGACGGATACGTAACTTTTATTCTCGAGAATGACTTTCTTCTGCTCAGAAGTGATTGTATGTCATTATAAAAAATTACTTTTAAGAAAATAAAGAATTTTTCGGCGAAAAACATCTGAGGGAAGTCCTTGCCTACAGTTTTTCGAGAATTTTTTGGTTAGTAAATATCTTGTGCTATACATCATTCGATGTAGTATTGTGCGCTGATCCAGAATATACTATTTTTGTGCAATAAAAATGTTTCTGGATGGGAAAAATGGGAGCTACCTGGAAAACTACGGGCTCTTGAGAAATTCATATCTAAGTTCAGAAACGCTTATGATAACTATATTGACGAAACTTAGATAGACGAATGTTTTGACAAAGTTTGACCGAATCTGGTCTATGGCTAGGAATGACGTGCTTTATCTCAAACTTTAATTCAAATATAAACTTGTTCTTATGAATTGATAGAGAACATCAAACGAACTCCAAATACGTGCTGTATTTACCTACGCATCGGCTGAACCTTAGGCAAAACTTTTTTTGTTTTTAAATGGCAGGCATGTTTTCAAGGTAAGTTTTGATTGGTGTACTACCATTTGAAATTATTAAAAGTTTACTTTCGATTTTTCAAGTAATGTTCGCCTGGAATGTGGACTGTGTTCCTTCCATTCTTTTAAAAAGAAAGTGCTTCATACAAAAATTTGTTTTCTCAAGCAAATATAAACAAAAGTTCGATGAACCATAATAGACAACACGGGATTTTCTAATATGGAGAGAAGGCTTGGTTGAATTGAAAAAATTAAGCTCAGGTAGCTTATGAATTAAAACGACGGTTTAATAGATGTCGACTATTCGTAATAAATCTAAAATCGATCGATTGCATTTTTATGTTGGGAGATAATTGTGCGAATTACATAAATATCAAATCGATTTGTAAATAATTTAAATAGGACTGAATTTTTATAATTTTCTTTCCTTTCGAACATTTTTATCTCTCAACGTTGCATTTCAATTAACAAAACCCTCATTAACTAATTTCTAATTATCATTGATTACAAACTTTAAAATCATTATTTTCTTTCGAACAATATTCTTTTTATGAATTATTTTTAAAAAAATTATTGAAAACTTTTATTTAAAATTAATACCGAAAGTATGCATATGGATAATAGTTATTAACACCTGCAACATAAGGTGTTCCGCCAGGATATACATGGGTTGGTGCAGACATATACATATTCGGTTGTTGATAAAATAGTTGTTGACCTGTATAATAGTTGGGCTGTTGCAATGCATATCCATTTGAAGAATTAGTAGACGTTGGAACTGGAGTTGAAGTACTAACAGGTGGTAGTGGTGATGGTGTTGATGGTGGTACTTCAGTAGTTGATGAACGAATTTCAAATGTACGAACACGATCTTGTCCAGATGAGTTTAAATTATTGTCTGGTGTATTTCGATCACGTCGATCAATAATAATTATACGTTCTTTCATTGGTGATGATGTTGATTGCGTTGAATTTGATTTTTGTTTATCAACAACTTTGAATAAATCTTGTAGTGTTTCTGTACCTATTTCTGTGTCTGGTGCCGTATATATTTTTCGTGTTGTTACCATTTGTTTATTATCATCATCATCACCAGTGGATTTTAATATTGATCTTTTTGTATTAAAATGATTATCAGGAAGTTTATTCATGTATGGATCTATAGATGATGAAGCAGAATTACCATTAATAACACGAACTCGAATTTTTTCTCTACCATTATCTGTTACATAATTTAATGCATCACTACTTGCTGAACGAGATAAGTTATGTGAATGTAAATCTTCACTTGTTGATGAACGTCGAATTCTTGGAGTAGCCGTATTAGTAGATGAATGTTCTGTAAGCGGTTGCATTGGTTTCGAAGCTTGTTGTTGATAATAGGCAGCATGTGAACGAGGCATTGTTGCATATGGATTCATATAAGACCAACCTCCAGTTGGTGGTTGACGAGAAGTAGGCAAAGCATTAGTAGATTGTTGTGTTTGATTATTTGATTGTTGTTGATATTGACCTTGTGGATAATTTCCATATGAAGAAGTTTCAGGATTTGTTGTTGGTTTTGATGGAAGTGGTGCAGCAGGTGATGTTGGAGTTGAAGGTTCAGTCTTTCGAGAAGTTGGAGGTGTAGGTTGATTTTGTTTAATAAAAGTTGAATAAGCTTCTTTGTAACGTTTGTCATATAGATGATTGATTGGATTAGGATAAGGTGCGGCTGCATTGTGAGAAACATTAAAAATAGGAAACTCATGTGGTGATGGATCAGGACCCTATTTTTGAATAAAAATTGAATATATGACAATGTATGGAATATTTATATACAGTGGCTCTCAAAATTATTTGACGAAGTTTATTTTCAATTTTTTTTTTCTACGGTTGTAAACCTTAATGAAAATTCAAATAGCAATTTGTGTAGAGAATTTTATTCTTAATCAGAATCTTCAATATATCAACCTTACAGAAAGTACAAAAGTCGGTTTTTCTCCTATTTTGTATGGACTCATAATTTGTGTCTTCTGTAAAGGTGATCTATCTTGTTAAAAAGATATCGTAGCGAATTGAAAGACGTTTCATTCTGTAGAGAATGGTTTATTCTATCATTCTATACAATTCAAATAAAATTCCAAGAACTAAAAAAATTGGATTTTGGTTTGCCAGAGATCCATATCGTTGGAAAACTAGCAATTATTCTCATCTTCAAAAGTTCATGTTAGAAACAAAATTCTCTACATAGATAACTACTTCATTTCTTGGTAACATTTATATCAGTGGAAAAAAAGGAAAAGAATTTCGAGAGTCCCAATATCTAGATATTACATACCTGATTACGAATTTCATATTTCATTCGTGCTACAAGTCCTTCTAATTTTGCTGCTAAAATATCTGAATCAACATTTTGACCTGAATATTGAAGTTCTTCAGACATCTTTTGTGCTTCTTCACTTAAAACTTGTGTTAAACGAGCAATGGTTTCCGTATCAAAGCCAGCTAATTTTCGAGCGACAAGATCAACCGCTCGTGATATCATAAAATTATATTTAGGCATCGTATCTTTATACGTTAGTTATATGAAAAAGAAAAAGACAAAATAAAGAGTACATTGAAAATAAAAAGCAACATAAATACATATACGTATTAATGATTGCGACTAACCCATGTGATCTGACTAAATCGATATATTCCCTCCTACCTTAACTACTAATATTGCATTTTTTTCTCTCGTTTATTACTGCACAAATTTTCGCATTCGTCGAAAAAGAATACATAAATATATATTTTTTTTTACTCATACTAGAGGAACGTGCATATTCTTACTAATAAGAAAACGAAATACTCTTGAATGTATGTGTCATACTAATAATTAATGAGTATTCGATTACGTTGTTCTTTTTTATTTTCCAATCGATTTGATATATGTGATAATGGTTTCGAAATAGATATGCTAGTTGATAAGAAATTTCGGATTTGTTTTTTTTCTGCTCCCTCTTTTTTTACGAATATGAAAATGTTCAAACAATAAAGTAAATAAAATTCATACGATTCAACATCAACTAGTAATGACATCTGTATATTCTTTTACATTTTTTTGCACTAAATGGATGTTGTTGCTTAGAGGAAACATAACTTGATACGATTGGGTTGAGTTAATTGAACGAAAACTTAGTTAATGATTCTTCTTTTCTTTCATTATACTTACTGACTAAAATTCTATTTTCATCTAAAAAATTGACAAGTTTTTCTTTGTTTATATCGTAATGAAAATCTTCTAGATCCTAATAAAACATTAATATACATATAATTAGTATCAACATTCATTTGTTTAGCTACTATTTATTTCAATTAACATCTTCATAATGGACGTATTTATGATGATTCGTCGACAAAAACTTACACTCTTTATTGATGCTAAAGAGTCATCAACAGTTGTTGAATTAAAAAAAATGATTGAAGGTATTATAAAAGTACCAGCAAATAATATACGTTTAATAGTTGATTCAACTAAACAACCAATGGATGATGATAATCAAACACTTGCTGATTGTGGCCTATCAGGTGCTGCAGCTAAGGCATATTCTCCTACTCTTCTTTATTTATGTTATCGTAAAACTGGCAATGAACATGAATGGGAACCAATTGATGTTGCTGAATTGTAAGTTATCCTTTTTGTTATTTTTACGATTGAAATGATTAGAAAATGAACATAAAAGTCTTTATTTATATTACAGAATTTGAATGACGATCAGGGTATGAATAATATAATTGATGAGTTTCCAGTATTTAATTATGAAAAAATTTTGATAGGAAATTATTTATTTATAAATGTCAATCGTCGTTGAACTGTGCGACAGTCATTGATTGATTTTCATTTCGACCATTCTTGAAACAAAAGAGATTTCAAATAATATCAAGGAAAAAAAAATAATCTTTTATATTTAACAGGATATCAATGAAAATTTTATTAAATTTTCGTCGACAAAAAAAGGCTTTAGTTTAAAAATATTCTTTATCTTTTCCTTTGAGCTATCAGCTTTTTCTAAAATCCTTGACTCGGTTCGGTACGCCGAATGACTGATATTCAGATCTCATATGAACACTTATTCTTAAAAACAGAAAATCTTGCCTAATAGAAATAAGCTTTTTCTTTAATTAACTTGACTGTTTTTTTTTAGGAGTACTCCTCCGCCATTGCCTGAAGTATTTAACAAACCGGACGATGATAAAAAAGACAATACTCAAATTGCTTCATAAGATAACAACATAAAAATAATTATATAACAATTAATCGTAGACACATGTAGGGAGTACTTTTCGTCTTACAACTTTTTTCTTTTTTGTCGTGCACACGATAACATTTTTTTTTTCTTCTACTCTATTTAACTCTCTATTTGTGTATAAACTTTTTCGTCTTATTGTTTCATCATTATTAAAAATTAAAAGTTCTTTTCTTTTTTTCCTGTGTTCTTAATGCAACAAACATGAACTAAAATAATGTTTTGATTTCACACAAAATGCGATCATATAGAATTCTTTGTTTTTTTTTTTTTTTGTCTTTATTAGTTTTTCTTTTTTTGTGTTACAGAAATGCAGTATTCAAGATGGAATGACATTGAACGAGAAAAAAAGAAAATGAAAAGATATGACTAGATTGGGCAGGGTCATTTGAAACAACGATGAAAACAAGAAAAAAGGTTCAAAAGGAAATAAAAACATTTATATCATAAATAAATAAATAAATAAATAAAGAAGAGACTAAAACGATTATTGATTAGATGAAGATTGACGCAAATCTTCAGGATCTTTACCATCATCATCATCATCAGGACCAGATGTTGAGCTTGAATCTTGACGTCCAGATGAACTACTTGATTTAATCTAAGCAAAAGAGAAAATATTCATTTGAGAAATTCATTTTTATTGCAATGTTTTTGTTTTTACTTTTTTCACTTTTTCTGCTTTCGTATTAACAAATGGTTCGATTACTACTTTACCTATATTTTTACGATCAATTAATTTACCAAGAGCACTATTTATCTGTATAATAAAAAATATTATATATATAAATAATGTATGAAAAAAAAAAAGCAATAAATATACTTCTTCAAATGTAAATACAGAATCAACAACTGGTTTAATTTTGCCTTCTTTATAAAGTAAAAATACTTTATGCATTATGTCACATAAATAACGACGTGTTTCATTTGAACCATGTTGAAGCAATTGAATTAAATTAAAACCATGAATAGATTTGCTATCTTGAAATAAACGTAAACAACTTATTTTATCATTCTGCCACCACTAAATAATTAAGAAAAAAAAAATGCATCAATTAAAAACAAAAAAATATATGAAAAATATTAGTAAATTCATACATTATTCATTCCTTTAGTAATACCAAATAAATTTTTAACATCCCAAGTAAGTAAACTTGATGTTCCATACATAACATATTTTCCATTAAATTTAAGCAATTCAAGGCCACGTTCACAATCATCACCTGCCATACAATCAAGAATAAGATCAATACCTTCAGATGATATTCTAGAAATATATATAGACATAAAAAAATGTATAAATATATAAAGATTTCTTATTTTATTTACTTTTTAATATCTTCTGTATAATCAATATCATGTTCAAATAAATAATGTATATGAGCTCGAAGTACATCAAATTTATGTGGACTAGCCGTCGCCATAATGGTTAGATTAGGCACAAGTTTTGATAGTTGTGTTAATGCAACTATAAAAAGAAATTTTTTTTTTGTTTTGTTTTTTTAATAAGTATAGATTATATAAATAAATAAGCTTACCTCCAACACCACCACCAGCTGAATGAAATAATAATGTTTGACCTGGTTTTATATTTCCAATTTCAAATAATAATATATAAGCAGTAAGATAAGCTATTGGAAGTACAGCTGCTTCACGAAATGACATTTCTTTTGGAATTTTAAAAACGAAATCCTTTTTTACAACTATTTGTTCAGCCCAAGCTGAAAAACGTGTTAAAACAAGAACACGATCACCTCGCTATAATAAAATAAAATCCAATGGTAATAAATAAAAAAACAAAAAAACAGTTTATAAATCTTTAAGACTATTTATAGCTTACATCAACATGTGTTACATTTGTTCCAATATCAAGTATTTCACCACTACATTCAAAACCGGGAATAAATGGAGGTCGCGGAGTATCTTCTAAAAGTCCATAACGCACAAGAACATCATTAAAATTAATTCCACTAAAAGGCAGAAAGAACATATGTGAATATTTTTAATTTTTTTAAATAGCATAGTTCTGTCTATTACCATGCTTTGACGGCAATTAATACTTCACCATCACCAGGTGGTGGTGGTTTTGGTATTGTTGTAACTTTAAGTTCACGTTTTCCAGCAAATGTTTGTTGTACAATAATACATTTAACATCAGCGGATGTATTTGCAGTTGTCATATTTTCATTACTAGTCATATTATGTCTTGGAAAAGAAAAAAGTATATTTTTTGTATATGTTACGTGTTATTTTTTTTTATTATTCACATCTATTCGCGATGTAAATGAACGAACATGATCGTTGTCACCTCGGTCTCTCGTTCGCTACTTGTTTTCTCTTAGTTTTTTTTTCTCCTTCTTCTTCTCTTTCTCGTTCTTACTTCACTAGTCCTATGTGATGTTATTCTTTACGATAGTGTAGCGTATGTGGGTGAGCAGTTTTATTTATCCGACGACGCGATTACTCGTTCTCTCTTGTAGTTTTTTTTTTTTCGCGGTCCTCGATTTTTTTTTTTCTCTTATATATATATATATATTCGGTAGTGAAAAATACAACTACTAGTCATTGTCATCGTCGTTGTTTTTTTTTGGCGTCGACATACATCGAGAGCAAGGAAAAAGGCAAAGAATTCAAGGCTATTTTATCGAGATGGAAATGAACTCTTATTTTCTCTTTCTCTCGTTTTTTTTCTTCTTTTCTCGTCGTCGTCTATACAACTAGCATAAACAACAGAAAGACATTGTAAAAAAAGAATGTAGTTCATCTTCATCATCATCACGAGATCTTCTTCTTTTTTTTTTCTTTTTTTTCTTTTTCACAATTGTAACAACGGAAGAGAGAGCAGCAGTAGAATTTCCGTGCACATTTTCATCATCATCTAGATCATTGCCTATACAAGCAGACAAGCAAGTCAATCATTCTATTTGTTCAATTAATTCCGAAAGCAGAATGACATTCGATCATCGGCTTTGTTGAAAAAGACCAAAAAGAAATCCATACAGAAAGAAAAAAAAATAATAATAAAGGAAAAACAATTATCACTGTTTTATATAGAGAAGAAAATCTTTTTTGTCTATTATCTATTGAGACGGCTCGATTAATATCGTTTGTTGTTGTGGTTGTGGCTGTGTTTGCTGCTGCTGTTGTTGTTGTTGATCCAATAGTAATGATAAATCAGTTCGTGATGCAGCATGATATTTTTCCATACGTTTATTCACTTTATCACTCAGTTGACCAAATTTTTTTCGTTGAAAAT